GGGAAGAGAAGAGAAGGGCAAGAGGTCACTGGATACAGCAATGCCATCTTTGGTGAATGAGCACCCTCTCGGTGGGCTAGGAGGCTTGGGATGAGCTGTTCCTGTCTACAAGAAAAGGTGGAAGGGATACCCATTTATACTGAGGTCCTACTATGTACTGGGTTCATGTACCTGATCTCATTTAAACCTGAGAATAGTCGGCAAGATAGGCAGCTTATACCCCTTTTACAGATGAGAAAATGGAGGCTCAGAGAGGTTAAGTGTTTTGCCCAACGGTGCACAGCCAGGAAGCAGCAGGGTCAGGACTGGAACCTAGAACTCTTCCCACTTGAGCAGGTAGCCTCTGGACTAGGGATGGTCCTCAGCATGTGGGCAGGGCTGCCGCCGCGTGCTGTTGCTGAGCATGCTCTAAGGGCTGGGAATACATGAAGACGAGGTGAGACCAGGATCCACAGCATACACTCCTGTTATAAGCAGAGGCTTTGCTGACCACTGTTGAGCCAGGATCTGGGCAATCATGGCAGATGTTGGTGCCCACTCTCCCAGCATGGTTCTAGAAAGAACCCTGAAGGTACACAGGTAATCTTTGTGTAGAAAGCCGCAGAGTAGAGGGATCAAGATCATGGATTTAGGATCCAGACCAACCTGGGTTCCAAGGCCTACTCTCCTTACTAGCTGTGTGACCTCTTGGAAGGTACTTAGCCTCTCTGTGCTTTGGTTTTCTTCTAAGTAAAAAAGTAATAGTGCCTGCCTCCTAGGGGGAGCTCCAAGGAGTCAGCAAGACAATGCAGACAGAATGCTTGACACAGTACCCATTACACGTTTGATAGGTGGTACCCAGATAATGGAGATCATGCTGATGGTCGTGGTGATGATCTAGACCAATGGCGTGCAATGGACATACAGCGCTATTTAAAAGAATCGGAAGCAGGGACTCCAACAGATACTTGTATGCCACTGTTACCGCAGCATTATTCATAACGGCCAGAGTGTAAACAAACAAGGATCCACCAACAGATGGAAGGACAAGCCAAACATGGCATGTACGTACAATGGAACAGTACTCAGCCGTGGAAAGGAGTAACGTTCTAATGCGTGCCATACTGTGGATGAACCTAAAGACATGCTACGTGAAGACCCCAGACAGAAAAGAACAAATACTGTAGGATTTCACGTGTATAAAATATCTAGAATAGGCACGTTCACAGGGACAGGAGGTATAGGTGAGAGGTTACTGGGGGCTGGAGGGAGGAGGGGCCGGGAGTCACTGTTCAATGGGTACCGTTTGTGCTCGGAGGGGACAAAAGGCTTTGGAAATGGTAGTGGTTGCACAACACTGTGAATGTGATCGATGCCACTAGGATGACAAATTGTATGTTATATATATTCTACCACAATTTTTTTTTTTTAAGTAGGCTCCATGCCCAGTGTGGAGCTCAACACGGGGCTTGAATTCATGACCCTGATCTCAAGACCTGAGCAAGAGCCAGACGCTCAACTGACTGAGCCACCCAGGTGGCTCTCTACCACAATTTTTAAAAATAATGTAATATACCCAAACCCTCAGAGTTGTATATTTTAAGAAGGAGGATTATATGATATGTGAACCGTATCTCAACAAAACTGTTTTTTAAAAAAAAAGAAATGCCACCCGTCATGGAAGTCGTAAATTTTCTAGTCATATTTTAAAAGGTTAAAAAAAAAAAAGGTGAACTTAATAGTATATTCTATTTAACCCAATATATCCCAAACACTAGAATTTCAACGTATCACCAGTCCTATCTGTGTAATGGGACAAATTACTTTATGTCCCCCCCCTTTTTTTTATCCTAAGTCTTCAAAATTTTGTGTGGATTTTACACTCACAGGACATCTCATCTCACCATATTTTGAGTGTTCAAGAGTCACACGTGGGGCGTGGCCACTCTTGGGCAGCATAGGTCTGGACCCTCGCTACTCAGAGGGTGGTTCATGGACCAGCAACACCAACATCATCTTGGGGCCAAATCTTGCCCCCGCCTCCCAGACCTAAAGAATGGGAATCTGCAATTCCCTGGATGTTTGGGATGCATATGAAACTTCAAGACTCACTGCTCTGGAATGCAGGCTTGTCCCAATCTCGTGTCCATTTCACCATGTGCTAAGGCATACGGGGATTCTGGAAGCCCCAGCTCCTCAAGTGTGATCCATTGGAGGGGGAAACACAAGACCCCAGAGGTAAGTTTGGAGTTAGCCGTTCACGTCCTTGTGACATGCTGGCTGCAGTGGAGACCTCCTGGTTGGTCCCCTCCATGGATTACCAAGGCCTAGATAGGACCTACTTTAGCCAAGCCCTCTGCCAATCCCCTGCTGACATGCAGGCTTCCGGAAGGACTCCATTACTGACCACACCACTGGAGTGACCGTCTCAAAGCCAGATGAGTGTGGCCGAGGGAACCACAGGGGCTGATGTTGTGGGGAGAGAAAATTTCAGATTAGGGAGCTGGAACCTGACCTGTGTTCCCAGCTTTGTCAACAGCCCAGGCAGATGTGGCTGAGTTTCTGAATGTCTCTGGGCCATAGCTCCTCCAGATGGAAAAGGAGGTTGGATCAACCTGGAAGGCCCAATGAAGGCATCCTATGCATTGATTCTGAGTAGCTGGTGGTGGCTAGCAAGAGAGCTGAATGACGGTGGATGTGCTGTGATAGATTCGCCATGTCTGCCACAGGTGTAGGAATAAGGCACAAACACCACACCCATTTGCATCCATCCGATAGGTAATCCCTCTCCGGATATGAAAAGACACTATGAACCGAAGCCTGAAAGGAACAGAAGTCATTTTTGTTTCTCGGGGTCAAAGTAGAAAAATCCTGGGGATTACCTGTCGGATGGATGCAAATGTGTATGGTGTTTGTGCCTTATTCCTACGCCTGTGGCAGACATGGCGAATCTCTGGCCAAGAAAATGGCCACTCCAGGCAATAAACAGAGGGCCACAAGAGACAAAGTGGGCAGGGACAGAAGTGGGCGCTGCCCTCAGATCTTTGGAACCCCAAGCCCAATACCAGCTATTCCACAAAGGAGAAGCCCTCCACATCCCCCATGACCTTCACTCAGTGGATGACCCTGGGGGAGAGCAGGTGTGGGACCACGTGGCCTCTTGGGGGCCTTCTGGTTCTGCAAAAGTTTTTGCGATACTCTCTCATCCTCTGAATAAACCCCAACTCCTACCACGCCAGCCTGGCCTCTGGCCACTCCTGAGACCTCACTTTCTATTCCTCTCCCTTCCACCCCCCATGGCCTGCTCGTACCCACTTCCCACCTGTTCTGCCACCTTTGTATGCTCGCTCCCACCCGGAGGGCTCGGATTTCCCACGTGGGGACCTGGCTTCCTCCCAAGGGCTTTGTCTTAACATGACCTCCTCCAAGGGGCATTCCCTGACCCCTCCCTTCTAGCCAAAGCCCCCAGTCATCACTATCGCAAACTTGTTTCATTGTCTTTTCAACACAACTTCACCTGAAATGATGATCCTTTTAAAACACACTTAACCTGCCTATTGCACCTGCTCTAGAAGGTAAGCCCTATGAGGTCAAGATGCTGATTGACTTTATTCACCCTTGTATTTGCACTCCTAGAACAGAGTCCGGCACAGAGAAGGTACTCAATACACACAGGCAGAGTAAAGAAGTGAATGAGTAGAAAATTTCACTGACCCTAAAATCCCATCCTGCCAGACCACAGGGTCTCTAGTTCCCTGTTTCTCAGCCCAACTGCACAGAAAAAAATAGAAAAGAAGGCCCCTGCTCTCCCTCCAACCGGGGAGATTTAAGCCCCTCTGTTCAGTTAACTCCTGCTCTCTCCTCCCTGACGCCCAGGAAAGCAGATGCCACTGGGTGATGGCCCAAATGACACTTGGGGTTTGTAACACCGGGCACTCCTGGGACCCCACCCAGAGCTCTGACCCTCATTGGCCAACTTGCCTGCACTCGGTTAGCTGGAGAGAGTCCTCGCTTGTTAGAGCCTCCCTCCCTCTGTTTTCACAGTCAAGCCATTCCCGGTCCTGGAAGGCCAGCAGAACGCAGCTGGTCCTCTGCTCAAGTACACGGAACGCCTGCTACGGGAGGAACACTGTCCCAGCCGCCCCGGAGCCCGACCTAACGGTATCCTCCCCACGTTCCTGTTGGAGCCGTCTACCTCCCTCATTCTTTGGAGGCTGACACTGCCGCTCAGAGAGGCCAAGTAACCTGCCCAAGGCCACGCAGCTACAAAATGATGGAGTGGAGGTTCCAATCCCTGTTTGTCTGCACAGGAGGTCTGTGCTCTTTTCAATTGTCTAAGGAAAGGCTGAGCCCCTGGGGGAAGGAGAGATCCTATTCTCCAGGCTCAGCAAGCTCAAATGGTGGGGGTAGGGATAGCCGAAGGCCTCCTGGGTCTGGTGTGCTCTGGTGTGCCATGTAACTCTGTGTGTGTGTGTGGATACCCAAGTCTGCCTCCGTGTGTGGGCTTGAGCACAGGGCTGTGTTTTCCTGGAATGGAAGCGGGAGGGGCACAGAGCCTCCAGTGAGGAAGCCAGAGAGACACTTATGGCCAGGAGGAGCTGAGAACCTTCCCTGCCCTTGTCTTCATGTGACAGAGAAAGCTGTGAGCTGCCATGGCGGGGAGAGGTTGCTGGCCCTGGGGGGTAGATTTCCTGAAAGCCAGGCCTCCTGGAGTAGCAGACATAGGGGCTTGGTGGGTTCAGGGCAGCACCTTGCATCTGATGATCAGACTCACTGGGGCATCAACCTTTATCAGGAAGAGATAGACAAGGAGGTGGCCATTGTAGCAACAGGGACCAGGCCCTGGATGGCAGACTCTATAGACGCCCCTGAACAGGAACCCGGTAGGGAAGGCTGGTGGCCGGGGGAGGGAGGTGGGTGCATGGAAAGGAGATGGCTGGCAGAGGCGTTGGGGAGGGGAGCAAAAAGGTGGCAAAGGCCAGAGGACAAAGGCTGTGGGGAGAGATACTAAAGAAGAACACCTACTCTGCAGACTTCCAGAAATGTCCGGGGTGAGACAGGCGGCGGTTCCGCTTTGGCAGTTTCTCCAGCATGTCCATGAGCTTAGTGAAGGTAGGTCTTTCTTCTTGTTCAAAAGCCCAGCAAAAGAGAAGAATGTCCTAAAAGAAGCCAACATGTGGTGATTTAATGTAAATGGTGATGTCTTGATACCCTTTGGCATCTCATTGGGTCTGTCCATTTGTCTACCCATTTGCCCCACTTGTATATTCCCCCATCATCCATCCATCCATCCATCCATCCATCCATCCATCCCAATTCATGCATTCATCCTTATCTATCTATCTATCTATCCATCATCTATCATCTTTCTGTCTTTCCTTCCATCCATCTATCCATCCTTCCACTCATCCAACTCATGAGCCCATCTAGCAAACTAGGTAGGTCCTGTTCTAGAAGGTCTAGGATACACTGGGATCAGTAATGCTCCCCAAGGAGTTTCTTGGCCATTTATTTTCTCAAAGGGAGGGAGAAAAGTGAATCCTGAGGTCTCTATCCATATCCCCAAACCTTAAATGCTCTTCAAAGAGTGGGAAGTTACTTTTAACAATCACCTCACCTGAGAAAGGAAACCTAGATACAGGTAACCCTTAAAAACACACCAGATAATTACTCCTTCCCTGACTTATCTGTCTTCTGATCAAAAGACAGCATTCTTCCTGCCGTGTTTTAGGGGGTGATTATTAATTTATACTCAGGCTTCTCTGTGTATATCTTGTTCTGAGCTGGATCATGACTTAAAAATCTTTATGTAGAAGCAAATAAAATTAGAATCATAGTATGGGTAATATTTTAATGAATATCTTTTATAAGTAACAGAAAAAGGGATTCACTGGTTCTACTTGATACAGCAACCCATTGCTAGGAAAAGTCTGGCCAAGTGCTGCTACTGCACCCTTGAGGCGGGAACCTGAATTGCAGGCAAAGTTCAGAAACTTCACCTCTTAAGCTCCAAATCACGATCTGACAAGGCTGTGGACAGGCTTTTGTGCCACCCTGTGGGGAAGCATTTGTAACCTTAACACACATGAAAAAGGCGGCCCTGAACTGTGTCTACCTCTCTCCTTGTCCCCCAGAGCTGGCACCGCCCCAGGACTTACCGAGATTTCTTTTCCCATGCCGATCTGGCTGAGGTTGGGTTTCATGCCTGTGCCCATTTGCCAGATTATTGCCTCTGCTGGTTGGGTCTTGAAAGGCCACTCCCTGGCGTGGAGTTCATACCAAATTGTGCTGTTGGCAGATGTTGTTAAAGGGGTTGTTGATGTGATATGTCACTCACGACCCTGTCTCCCCTCACCGACACACACCCACCCAGCCAGGCTGCGGGCTAACCCCTCTGCTTTCTAGTTTCTTCCTCACAGGGCTGGCGTTTTGCTAGCTGGGATGCACCTAAAGCTTCCTTGATGCCTTAGAAGCTAGCGTTTTGCTAGCTGGGATGCACCTAAAGCTTCCTTGATTGTCCTTCCCTGGTGCCTGAATTAAAATGAGTCAAAACCTAGAACCCGAAAGTGTAATAAAATGTGGCTAGGATTTCTGACCCCAGACTTGTAATTCTAGGAAACCACTGTAAGGAAATACTTAGAGATACAAAAATCACTTACAAGGATATTCTCTACAGCATTATATATAATATCCAAAAAAGGAGAAATGACACAACTGTTCAATGAAAGGAATAGGTTGCATGTATTATGGCAAATCCATAAAACAAAATGGAATATGATATTATTATTATTTTTTTTTTTAGGATTTTTTTTAAAGATTTTATTTATTTATGTGTGAGAGAGAGAATGAGAGATAGCACGAGAGGGAAGAGGGTCAGAGGGAGAAGCAGACTCCCGCTGAGCAGGGAGCCCGACGTGGGACTCAATCCCGGGACTCCAGGATCACGACCCGAGCCGAAGGCAGTCGCTCAACCAACTGAGCCACCCAGGCGCCCATGATATTATTATTGAAACATCTCAATGAAATTTTGCTGACATGAAAAAATGTTTAATATCTAATTTTAAGTGAAAAAACCAGGACAAAAGACTGTATATAAGGTAATACCTACTCTTAAAAAATTATATATGTATCGGCAGGAGAATAAAGAGAAACAGCAAAATGTTAACAATGGCTAACTCTGGGTGATAGCATAGGATTTTTTAAAAAATAATTTTGTTTTCTAAATATAAGGCATCCCATGTAATAGTGAGGAAAAGATGCTGGGGGGTATGAGTGGCAGGGAGGGCCTTGGCAGATGCCATGGGGTGCTCACAGGATGCTGGGGAATTGGCTGAGCTGTACCATGGGAATAGGTCTCAGCTCACTGGGAACAAAATTCCCCAACTCAGGAAATGATCTTTCCTCTAAGCTAAGATAATTTATGCAAATTTGCTTTAAAAAACATGAAGCGCTCTGTTATCTTTACTGATCAGAGGACTCTGTCAAACCAGCTATTTCTAGGGTCCCACTTCTCAGCATATTCTCTCCCCTACCCTCATCCCTCTGGGGCTCGGAGGGGTGATGCTCAGGTGTTGGGGTGTTGAGTTAGATGATTGGGAAGTTGTCACGGTAAGGTGCTAGATGATGACTCTTGCCATCGTAATAATCAGCTAACACTGAGTTTTTACTCCATGCTAGACCCTATTCTAAGCCCTTTGCATTTATTATGATTACGGGGGAGGTGTAAGAAGCATGCCTTCTTATTTTGATGATTTCACATCTGGGGGCCTCCCCGACCTTGGAGGGGCTGCCCTTCTCCCCAGGGCCAGTTTATTCCTAGAGAGAGTAAAAGACTCTCTTGCGAGTGTGCCTTTCATATGCAGACTAACCAATCCAAAGCCCCACCCCCACCTCCATTAGGCTTCCACTGGGACCAATATTCCCCACCCTACTCAGGATACCCCCACACCCCAGAGCCCACTAAATTAGTCAAACTAGGCAATCTTAGCCGTTTTACCCTGCCTTACCAGTTCCTCCCCCAGTAAACCACATTAAAGGCTCTTGCCCACATTTTCCTCCTGCCCCCTCTGCCTCCTGACCCTGGTGCTTTCCCCGTGTGGCCTGATGTGCCCCCTCCTTTTGAAAACCATGAACAACAAACCATCTTTCCAAAGACAGTTGCTTCCTGCTTTATTGCCATCACCATACTCGAATAAAAATAAGACCTACATTTTCAAACAGGAGGCACGATCGTCATCCCCATTTTTCAGAAGAGGAAACTGAGGCTCAGGAAGCTTATGTATCATACCCAGGTGAACACAGCAGATAAGAGGTGCAGGCGGAAGCTGAATCCGGTTGATCTGACTACAGAATTGCACCACTGGCCATTAAGCTACAAGAAACCTACACTCAATCCTATTCCAGAGTCCTTTGTAATTGTAAGTGAAGGATTTGGGGCAGGGGGGCAACCAGGCAGCTGACGGTTGGGGCCTGGGTTAGGAGGCACAGACAGATTGCAGGCAAGGGCTTGTGGGAGAGGGGCAAGGGAGCCTAGCAGGAGCTTGAGTGCAGGTGTCTTACAGGTGTTTTCTCGCTCGATCCTCAGAGTGCCTCGCTGGGTTTATTACCTTTTATTGACGGTTGAGGGAAATAGGGCTTTCGTGGTGAAATGACTCTGAGGTCCCCGTGGCTAAACCCTCCAACTCTGGAGTTAGGATGTCCCAAGTGTGACTCCCAGATCCACCCCTGATTACCATAAGGCAAGCCGCTGAGCTGCCCAAGCCTATTCCCTACTGTCATTTGGGTGTCTGTGAAAATTCCAGGAGACAGCACCCACAAAAACCTTAACACGGTGCTCAATATGCTTTTAAAAGTCCAGTTTTGTTCTAAATCATGCCTGAGCATGATGTTCCCAAGCAACAAGATGCACCTAATTGGCAGGAAACCAAGAGCGCCAGGTCCCTTGGAATTCAGCAGTGTTAGGAATAAAAGCCTCATTAAAACTTCCTTTCAAACCCAACTTCCAAGAGAAACTCACACTAAGAAAAAAATAAATTGCTAAAGATTAAAACTCCAGTGGAAAACCAATTACTTACTTTGGTACATTTGTTAATTACATTCTTTTTTCTTTTGATAAATTTATACTAAAATATACCAACTTAATTATTGCAGTTTGGTTTCAGGTAACAGTATCTAACTAGATAAAGTTTTGGGCATACACTAATCAGGGCAAATGACAACGTCTAAAAGGGTCCAAGTGATAGACGTCGAGAATCCTGATGGGCCAGCAAATGTGCCCCCATACCCCCCTTCTTGAGATTTACAGAGAAGACATAGTAGGGGTACTTTTCCATGGAAGACAGTCTCTCTAACAACTCTTGGTGGCGCTAAGTCTAATTGCACACATCTGCAGGGTTGCAACTTTCCCAAACAGCTTCCCCAGTGTTGTCTCTGTTTGTAACCACCAATCTTGGCAACAGCTCCAGTGGGCACGGTAAGGTGAGGGTTAGCATGGCTATTTGAGGGATGGGAGCCTAGAAGCCTTCCCAGATGCACCCTCTTGGAGCCCTCGTCCTGCACCTTGGGGCTGCATCCTGCACCTTCTGTCCTTCTCTATACTTGCAAAGCCATCCTGTTCTGTCTCATGAGTGCACTTTCTCCTTGCTGAGACGCCCGAAACTCTTCCTTCCCAAATTCTAGCTATGTAGATACAATTGCCTTCTGGTTGGTTCCACTGGCCATCTCCAAGGTAGCCCAGACTCACTGTGTCCAAACGTGCTCTTTGCCTTCTCAGCATAGCCCAGGCGGACCCTCCGGTGTCTCTACCTTGGTGAATGACACTAGTCTCCACCCAGTTGCTTAAGGTAGGTATCTGGGCACCACCCGCATTCAACCCGTCATCAAACCCCATCTCATCCACCCCCTAAATGCTTATGTCCATTTCTAGGGTCCAAACCCACTAGCACTGATTTGGTGGAGAATGCCACCATCTCCCTCTGGATTGGTCACCCAACCTCCCAAGCTCATCCTTCTTTCCATCCTCAGCATAGCAGAGTGATTGTTCTAAAACTCCAAGTATGATTACATCACTCCCCTGCTTAATAACCATCAAGGGCTCCCCAGTGCTGTGAAGATGAACTAAAAACTCCTTAATTCAGCCTCTTAGTCCCTGTAGGAGTCACTCGGATTCCCTCTCTAGTCTCTCCTATCACCACCCCCAGCTCATTTTTTCCTGATTCTCCATCTCTCAGTTCCCTCCCCTTCCCACTCTCCACGTGTTCCTCCATTGTGGGCAATTTGTTTTCTGTTACCCTAGGCCTCTTCACATGTTCCTTCTATCTAGACACCTCACCCTACCCTCATCTCGCCCACTTATATTCAACCTCTAACTTAGGCTCAGGAGTCACCTCCTCCGGGAAGCCCTCTCTGATATCCCAGGCTGGATTTAGGTTCTCCTTTATTCGCCCAGTCTTATGTTTACCCTCAGCATAGCATTTATCATACTCCGCGAAAATGGACTGTTTCCCTGTTGGTCTTCTACTAGAAAAGATAGAGTAGGGGCCTTTGGTGACTTAAAAATGGGTCTACAAATTTTTTGATATTCCTTCCTGCAAAACGTAGAGCTTCATTCACCTCCCCTCGATTGAGTGACTCGTTTCTAACACACAGAATGTGGCAGAAGTGAGGATACATAATTTCTGAGACCAGCTCATAAAGGCAAGGCGGCTTCTAGCCACCGTGTTGTGAGGTCACTCAAGCAGCCTATGGAAATGCCCGCATGACAAGGAGCTGAGGCCTCCTGCCAACTGCCATGTGAGGGGGCCCCCTTGGAAGTGAATCCTCAGCCCATCAAGCCTCCAGATGAGAGCACAGCCCCGGCGCACATCTTGACCACAACCTCACAAGAGATCCTGAACCAGCTCAGAACCATTCAGCTAAGCCACCCCCACCCAAGTTCCTGACTACAGAAACTTGAGATCATAAATGTTGCTTTAAGCCCTCAAGTTTTGGATAATTTGTTAACGGTATGAATGAATGGGCCAAGTAACTCACCACAGTCACATAACCAGTTAGAAACCCGGCATGAAGGTTTGCTAGGGTCACTCTCTCTACTACACCCCACTTGGATACCCCCAATCTCACCCAGAAACCTGACCACCTAGGACCCAGCAGATAGGTGCCCCATCTCTTCCAAAAGGAGAGAAGGAAGGCTTGGGCAATGTTCCTCTGCCTGGGCTGGGGCTCTCCATAGCTAGCGTGGGCCACCTACCCGAGTGCAAAGACGTCTGAGTGCTTAGAGAAGGGGAGTTTGTCCTCTTCTGTGTCGGGAGACAGCTGACGGATGATCTCTGGTGCCAGGTGGCAGAGCCAGCCATTCTGGATGCGAAGCTTGTCCTCCCGCCTGGAGAAGCAAAACACAGAGGGAGCCCCACCTCACAGCCCGGGGAGGACTGGTCCCCCAGCACTGACCCAAGTCTCTGGACCACCTCCACTGGCTTTCTTGCATCTCCCTGCCTGGGCACCCCCTGCCTTTGTACTTGAGGCCGAGCCCCAGTGAAAGGGACAGGGAAGACTGGTCTGGGAGGGAGACACTCAACACCCAGACCATCGTCGGGTCCCTCTGCCTCTGAGGCACCCCCTCCTGCATATTCATTCAACCAGTACAGCTGAGTCTTGGTATGCACGGCAGTTCTGTTGTATAAAGTCTCTGCAAAGAGTGAATGAGCAAATACGGAATCATTGCTCCTAGAGGAAATAGGTATTCACGCACACACCTCACATCGATTATAACCTAAAACCTAAAAACAACTCATCCTAGTACGTTCTGTTTTCATCATTTTACGGAAGAGAAAACAAGGCTCAGGAATGTTGAGTGATGTGTCTGAGGCAGCCCCACAGCCACATGCCAGAGTTGCAAAACTCTGTCCCACTGGCCCCGGGGCCCAGGGCTTCCTGCACTGCATGGTCCCCTCCCATCTCTGTCCCCTGGTCATCTCTGTATGACAGCTCAAACAAGAATGCAGAGTATCCCCTTGTCTGACCTCAGCTGGGAACATATACATCAGGTGATTCAAATTTTCACCACCCTGTACATGCCCGTGAAGGACTGCGAAGGTGCCATATTGATTTGGGGGTGCAAACAGATTTAAGTGAGTAGGCAAATTCGCAAATATGGAGTCCATGAATAATGAGGATTCACTGTATTTTTGGAGAACGTGCTGTACCTAAGCTCTCTGTTTTCGGCACCAGGAACACAGCAGTGAAGGAGACGGGCAAGGTCTCTGCCCTCCTGGAGCCTATGCTTTGGTAGGGGAAGGTGATGACAAATGAATTAAATAAATAGGAAAAGTACAGATGGTGATAAGCATTATAGGAAAAATTTAAACAGGGGAATGTGTCAAAGATAAGAGGGAACTCACTTTAGATAAAATTTTATCTGTATTTATCTTCACATGGTAAGACTTTCGTAAGTACAGAGCTTTCCATTTGGGACTGAAATCTGAGCAGACCTCCTACAAGGTTTCCACTGATTCAAGACTCCCAGGAAAGGGCCAGTTACTACAGGGAGAGGGGGCAGTGATGGGGGATGCGGATGGATATCTCCAACCATCAGGAGTGAGATCGTGATGGTCCAGAGCCTCCAGAATGTGGAGACCAGGGGCTGGCTGGATTCGACAGTTCTCCCAGGGTGGCTTCTGGGCTATGTCAGGTGTGATGTGCTGCTCCTTGAACTGCACTCATTCATATCCCGTGACAATGATTCTTGCCCTATCTGAACACTTCTAGAGTGGCACTATCCCATAGAACTTTCCATGGTGACGGAAATGTTCTCCATCTTTGCTATCCAATATGGCAGCCACGAGCCGTCATGGCCATTGGGCACTTGAAATCCAGCTAGCGCAGCTGAAGAATTGAATTTTAAATTTTATTTAATTTTAATCAAAGTTAAAATTACATAGCCTTATGTTGCTGGGGGCCGTTGGACAGTGCTGTTCTTGACTATTCTTTACTACAAATGAGGTTTTTCTTACCATGACCATACATGGGAACTAAGACTTTTTTAGTACACATTAAAATTAAGATGAAAAATGCTTATTCATGTCATCCCTAAAGTTATCTTGTGGACCACATGTCGGGGGGAGGACAGAACCCTGAAAGGAGAGGTCCCAGGAGTTTTGGGGCTGGATAATTCTTTGTGGTGGGGGCCTGTTCTGTGTAGTGTCTCTCCCCACTGGATACCAGTCTGACGCTCTACCCTGTTGTGACAACTAAAGAGGTCGCCAGACATCACAAATATCCCTGGGGAGGGGGCAGGAGAGTCCCAACTGTTCTCATTTATACAGAAAATAAGGAAATGGCCCAAATTTCAGTCTTTTGGCATCAGTAACATAGGACTTGCTACACGGCAGACCCAAATCCATTGGCAAGCCCTTGAGTTGGCAGGGCCCAATGAGTTCTTGCTTCCAGAACTGGGGATGCCTGCAGGAATGTAAAGACCTATCTGCTGCTTACTAGCCATGTGACCTTGAGCAGACCTGAGTCTCCACTTTCCCATCCGCACAATGGGCACATTAATCTCACACAACGCTGGTGCAGGGCTGTGTCAGCTGCCAGGGCCATAGGATTATTAGAATTATTACCTATGGATATGTTTACATCTTGAGGACTCAGAGATGGAGTGAGACTACAGCTCAAAGTAAGAACATCATATAAGAAGGAAGGGCCATGGCCTGAGCCACCCAACACTCTCTGGGCACAACCAGGCCAGGGGTTGAGGGGAGATGGGGTGCTGCTGCCAAAAGAGAAAGCACCCCAGTTCTGATTGCTTTCTGACCGCCCCTGCTGCCTATTCTGGACTTGCTGGCTGAGTGCAGGTTTGCAACTGCAGGCTGGGCCAGGAGGGGTGCTGGCCACTCCCTAGCCATTAGCCCAGGGTGGGAGGGGGCACACGCCTGGGAGGGGGCTGGATGCCAGGCCTGGCCCAGACACTCGGGGATGTCCCATTCCCATGGCGATGGGCCCACTGGTGACAAACTCAAATCATCTTCATTAAGGTTATTATTATGATTAATAACAGCCTGCGGGTGGCTGGCACCATAGTGCTGGCATGGAAATGACACCTTTTCTCGAGGATGGCAGAACAGCTGTATGCTGGCAAAGCTGGGGATGGGCTCGGGGAAGCCCTAGGGTCTGTCTGGATGTTCAGGACATGCTCACTTCACTGGGTAACCCCCACCCCTGCCCAGGCCCGGCAGATCTCCCCCTGTTGGGAACCCAGCATTGTGAATACCCCAGGCTCTACAGGAGGGGGGGTTGGGAGGGGGCGGGACGTCAAGTAGCCCCTGCTGAGTGCATACTGTGCATCAGGCTATCAATCGCACTTCATGCCAACAAACCCACCATAGGGTGGGTAAGATCCCTGCTCTGTGCATGAGGACACAGAGCTTCAAAACACTTAAGTGACCTGCCCAAAGCTTCGGATGTAACAAGTGACCCCAGAGATTCCCATCCACAATTTTACAGCAATTCCTGGAGAAATGGCACCCTTAGGGAGCAAACTGAAACCCTACAGGAAAACTAAGCCCGACATACAACTACAACAGGGAACATTCAATCACCACAGGAGACCCCCGATTGGGACTCGTGGGCAGCCAAGAAATGTGGATTTCTTCTGGGAGAGGTCGCTGCGGGCTCCCTGGCCTCTCCTGACACTGCCCGGGGTTTGTGTTGATGACCAGGCTGGGCAGGGGTGGGGTTGCGGAGTGATGGCTGGACAAAGAGGCCAGCAGCCACCTTGCCCTTGATTTGAACTTGCTTCCCCTGTTGACACTGGGCCTCTGTGAATGAGGTGAAGGAAAGGATGCTCACGTCATTCCATTTCCTTTCTTCCTCTTTACCCTGGGGCTTTCGAAAACTGAGAACCAAAAGGGGGAAAATCAGAGGTCCTGTCCCCTTTTCCTCCACCTGCGGGACAATCCACTGGCAAGGACATGCCTCTGGGTGGGAGGAATCAGATTTTTTTTAAGAGCCTTGAAGCAGGTTCACGGAAAGCATCTGCTAGGCGTCTTTTTGTCTGGACGCAGACACTTGAGTTCATAGTGATGTTACCCACTGCTTCCTCTGCCCCTTAGCCTGGGGTGATGGATAAATGGATATGTGGATGTGTGTGCGCATGCAAATCCTCCCAGCAAACCCACTTGTAAGTGCTCTTGGGGAGACAGGGAGGAAGGAATATGGTTCAGCCCTCCTGGCTTGTTGGGGTCCGACTCGAGGGACTCTCCACCTACTTATCCACTGATCTCTTTGCTCATTTACCTACTTCTTTTCTCATCTTAGGTGCTGTAGATAGTTTTGGAGACTGCACTGAATCTTTTTGGGTGGAGTAAAACCTGAAGAGAAACTTCCGCTTCTGTTACGCTTTCTGTTTCTAGATCACACAGAAAGTGGCTAGATCAAGTGTTGCTGATTTTTGGATGCTCTTAGAGTCAACGCATTATATAGCATGAATAAAATTTACCTTGGGGGGCCCTGGGGTGGACCTCAAAGAGATCAGTACCTCAAAGCAGCTGAAACAAGTAAAAGGAGAGTGTGGGGCTGCCATCCAGAGGAGGCATACACAGGTTATAAAAGGCGCGATTAGAGAAAACCACAGGGTTTTTAAGTGTGTGTGTGTGTGTGTGTGCACACGAGCATGCACGCATGCATGCGTGGGCCTGTGTGTGCTTGTGCGTCCACACTCCAAATTAAAAGTCACAGCGGGCAGACCTCCTGAATCATGGGCTGTTTATTTGGAATCAAGTTGTTTCTCACCATCACCTCAAGGCAGCTTGCCCTTGGGTGAGTGGCTCCTGAGAGTTAATTACTTAAGGATGGCTGATGATTCTCCTGGGTGACACTGGGGGAGGTATATGCAAATTTATAGTAATTACAACAACTCAGCAGCAGCTACTCTGTGTAGTGTTCCCTGTGCTCCGGCACTGTGTTGGACACTTGATTGTATTATTTCAGCCACACAAGGATCCTGCGAGGTAGGCATGATCACATCGTCATTTTTCTTGCAGACATGGAAACTGAAGTTCAGGGAAGTTCCAGGAGTATAACTAATGTCATAGTGATTAAGTGGCAGAGCCGGGGCGGGGGGGGCACAGGTGGGTCTGACTTTAAATCCCTTAGTATTCTTGCTGCACTAAAATGGATCAATTCATAAGAAAACTTTGAGCAAGGACTCTGGGGTGATTTCAACTGCCAGGTGGGTACTCAGGGCAAAGGGAGGATCTTCCAGTTAAATTCAAGGGCAAGGGCTTTCAGGATTGGGGGATGCTCTGTGCCCAATAAAGCCCGTGCTCCTAAAAGCACCACTTGCAAGACAGGGCTCCCAGGGAATCACAGCTTGACCTGGTATCAGTGCCCCAGCATCAGCAACAGCCTAGCCGCCCAGCTAAGCGATCTCAGGCCCAACCCCCAGTCTCCGTCACTGATGCCATTTGGGTGACTTCTCACCCCTGACTGTCATCGGCCAAGAACTCCACTGGGCCCTTCCACCACCACTCACCTGCCGGCCTGCAGCACCCCGGAAATGCTGAAGAGCCCGAAGTCTGTGATCACCACTTTGCCGTTGTCATAGAAGACATTCTTTGACTTGAGGTCCTTGTGAAGGATCCCCTTTGCATGGAGGTAGCCCATACCCTGCAGGAGGCAAGGAAATGGGAATTTTCAAGGAATACCTGAGTGGTCTCTGCTGCTACTTGGCTTGGGTCCACCCTCCTTGCCTTTCCAACAAGAGCACCCCAAATAGCCGCAGTTCTGGGGACCCCAACGCAGAGGCTCGGAGGTGGGGTGAGAGAAGTCTTGGCAAGCGGAAACAGGCAGGGTCCCCAAGACACAATCCGCCACCACCCTCAGACCCCTGCCAAACTGTTCCCACCTAGCTCTTCTGCTTCTTGAAGAAGAGACAAAGAAAGATGTCCCCATTGGGGAAAAAAATTGACAAAAATGGAGAGGAGGTCCCCGGAGAAAGGAATTCCATCCACCACCTCCCCGCACTTCCTCTTTAAAAAATAACTCCTCTGCAGGAGATTTGTTTTATATCCACTTAACCCGTATCAGTGCAGAATGCACTGCATTCCTCAAGGGATGGATCATGAGCCAATGATCAAGACCACAGAGAGAGTCTAGTGGAAGTCTCGCTCAAGGGTGAGTCCCTAGATTTTTGGTTTTTCGCCTTTATAAGCAGTCACATTTTATCTCTTCTAACAGCTCAGTCCTGACACTTCCAATGTCAACTAAAAGCCCCAGTCAACTGACTAATGAGGCACCTGCCAGAAAACACAGGATGTTCCAGTTTGTTTCAATCCCAAACAACTTGCAACAATTGGATGTTTCCCCAGCAGCTGCGGAAAGAGATGGCCTGCACTCATGGGAATTCAAGCGTCCGAGGGGTAAGGGATTCTAGCCACACAAACTTATCCGGGTCCCCACAACAGGCCCAATTATCACAATGCTGGGGCACCAGATGGCAGCCAAACATCGGGAGACCAACCCTCATGGCAGTATCCGGGCAAAGCCCTTCCTCACCTACCGCCTGCTATTTTTCAGATCAAGTCTAATTTTTTTTTTTTTTTTTTTAAATCCAGACTTGTTGGTCTGAAGCCAGACCATGCATCTCAGGAGGGAGCCCCAGACCCTGTGGTACCTTCACAATTTCTTGAGCAATCTGCCTCGTTTTGTTGACATCCAAGACGATTTTGGCGTCCCTCACCACAGAATAGAGCGTCCGTCCCTTACACAGGCTGGAAAGCAAAAGGACAAAATAAAATGATCAGCAGTTGTTCAGATGAGAGTGACCCACAATGGTTGTTAGATGTGACAAGTAAGACTGCAGGTGCCATTAGTTTGCCTATCAGATAATGAGCCTGTTAACTGGACCTCAGATCTGGTTCTGGGATGCAGATCGGGGCGGGGGCCCGTTCTATCACCGACACCCCCACCCTGGCATCGCAGGATACCTGCAGAATCTAACCCAGTCCAGAGGCAGGCTTGCCACGTTCCATCTGTCCCAGATTGCACAGAAGGAAAGCTGCGCATAAACCGACAACTTCTGGGGTCCTCAGACACCACTCAGACAGCACTCTGCCAACCACTTGTCCCAGCTGCTCCCGCTCACCCGAAGCAGCTGAGGGACAGTGATAAAAACACCAGCAAAGTGGTGGCTCACGTCCACCAAGTACCATCGGCCAAAGACGCGTTCAAGCCTTCAGACCGTGGCGTGTCAACACTGATACCCCTCCCCCCAAACCAGATGCCTGTCGAGATAGAGGGCTTTTCAAACTATTTTCAGCCTCATTGAGTTCATTTCGAGGACCAGTGGTGTAAGATAAATGACAAAATGACAAAGGATGGTAATGCAGTGATGGTCACACCTCCCCGTTTAGTTGCCTACATGCCCATCCATCTGTCCCTCCCGCAGTGCGCTCAGTTCCTGGTACGCACACAGCAGGCCCTCAGTACATGGTCACGGAATGAATGAGTGAATGAATGAATTCTAGATTCACCACGGCATTCCCAGCCCCTACACCATGTCTGGCTCACGGTATCCGGTGTTGGCTAAAAGAGGAAAGGATGGTATTAGGAAAGTTCATGTTCCATCTCATGTCAAAATAATCGCTTGACTTTTTCTTTTAATCTAGGACTTCATTGCTAAAAGACTCTTAGTCCTTCTTTGAGTATTTTCGAGCCCTTGTTACATGCTGGACATAGCTGAGATCGTGTGGTTGGAGCTGGAACTGTGGCAAAGGGACCTCAGTTTGGATCCCAGCTGTGTTCCTTACTGTGTGTCTTTGGGTCGGTTACTTAACCCCTCTGGGCTTCAGTTTCCGCAGCTATCAAAGAGAATGCGTACCTTGTAGAGTCAGTACGAGGACTGAATGAGAGAAGGAGCCCAGGGCGGTGCCTCACACATGGTGGAAAGTGTAGCACAGGGGTGAGAACAGGGGCCTAGTCAAACTCTGTGGGTTAGAATCCGGGCTTGTCAGTTAATGGCTGTGTGACCCCAGGAAGGTGAGTTAACCTCTCTGAGCCTCATTTTCATCTTCTGTAAAATGGGGTCAATAGTTCCTGCCTTACAAGACTGTTAAAGAGAACCATATGAAATCAGGTGTGTAAAGGGACGGGCATCTCTCCATGCCGGACACATATTAAGTGCTCATGAAATGCTGGCTATTAGGAGAGGTAGTAAATGATCAATAAAAGGGCAAATGCACACACACCCTTGGCAAATATGTATTATATATTTATACACACATCACATCTGTTTGTCCATCTGTTATATTCCTCTCTACCTAGCTATGTATCCATACCCGTCCCCATATATCCGTCCAAAATGTTACCCATGATCTTTGACTAAGATTGATTTCTTCACTTCCTTAAGGTGAGATTCTCAGGGAAGCTGACTCCCAGGGAGTCTGACTCACCTGTTCAAGGTTGCCCAGTGAGCTGGCAGGAGGCAGCCTTGGTGCCTCAAGGCTATCCCCTGTTGTTGCTGTCCTGGGAGTACATATGCTATGGATGCTGCAGGAGAGGGGGAGGGAGTGGGCTGTGCAGCCAATTAAACCATATTGACATTTAAACATTGGGGATGGTGGAGACCGTGGGTGGATTCCCTCCCCTGGATACTCAGCTCTTGAACAGCCACCTACATGCATTACCGGCCAGAGCGCAGAAAATACTGTCCCCACTGCATATGGCAGAGCAAATCACTGCAACAGGCTCCCAGAGTCCCAGACTCTCCTTCCCAGGGTAACTGCGTACAAGTTGCAGGCTTCAAATACCCTCCCATCTTCTTTCTCTGCTCACATCTTCCTCTCCAGGAGCAGCTGCTAAAACCTTTGCTTCTCCCACTACCCTGTGGTTTCTGGGGCTGCTGGAGATGATTTACATCCCACTGGTGGGATGTAAATTGTACAATCACAGCTTGGCAGGGCTACCAAAGTGAAAAATACAAATAACCCACGATCGGCAATTCCTCCCCTAAGTATATACGCAACAGGCATGCATACTCATATTCACCCACAGATATGCCAGAATGTACTACCATGTTAACAGCAACCCATTCATAATAGCCCCGCACTGGAGCTAATCCAAATGTTCATCAACAGAAAGATGGATAGATTGTGATAGTGCCATATAACCATATATGTTTGTACTATACTGTAAAACAATAAACTATTGCTAACGGCAACAAACATAAACACAATGTTGAACAAAAGAAGCCACAGAGGACTCACACGGAATGATTCCGTATATATATAAAGTGCAAAAGCAGACAAAACTGACCCGTATGCATGAAGTCAATGTAGTGGTGACCCTTGGGGGCTGGGGAGGCTGGAGAAGGCATGAGGGGTATGGGGGGAGGGGGCAGGCAATGTTGTTTTGATTGGGGTGCGGTATAGGAGTGTGAATTTAGTCGAAATTCATCAGGTTGTGCTCTTAGGATCTGGACACTTTGCCAGATATTACACTTAAAAAAGTTTGCTTCAAAGAAATCGGCAAGGATGAACAATATGTGTGTTGAAATTTACAAGAAAATCTAAACCAACACTGATACCCAGGCATTCACTTTTTTTTTTTTTTTAAAGATTTTGTTTATTCCTGAAAGAGAGAGAGGCAGAAGGAAAAGCAGGCTCCCTGCTGAGCAGACAGCCTGATGCGGGACTCGACCCTAGGACCCTGGGATCATGACCTGAGCTGAAGGCAGACGCTTAACCGACTGAGCCCCCCAGGCACCCCCCCACCCCGTAACCACTTTTAAGCTCTTTCACATAGTCACAATTCCGTCTGCAGAGGAATTAGCGGCTCTGGGCCTGGCTGTGCCTGCCAGGTGTGTATCGGGGCCTGAGTTGGAGAGCAGGTGCAGGGAGAAGGGTGAGCTCTAAGTAGGAGCAGGCATCAGTCAGGTGCCTAGGGTGGCTGAGGCTCAGATACACCAGGCAAGTCAGTCCAAGTATCTTTGGCAACTGCTCTGAGCTTGGGGTTTCTGTGGCTAACAGCAGTGCCCCAAAAGCCACTTGTGGGGTGGGAGGTGGAGAAGAGAAGGGAGGAGAGGATGAAGGTTTACTGAGCACGTGTGTGGGACCTAAGTCACCTCCACAAATCCTCAAGGCAGCCCTGCAGGGTCCACACTATTGCCCTATTCCTGCCGATGAGGCTATGGAGACCCAGAGGCGCGGAGGACCTGCTCACAGACACACACACATGGTGTCAGCCTGTTCCTGATCTTTCTCTCACCCCTTCTGTGGTATGGGTGCCCAGTTACCAGGTGTGATTTGGGGGCCATTTAAGAGACACGCAGGCAAGGGAATCCAAATCTGACTCTACCATTTACTACTTGCTGGGTGGCCTTGGGAAGTGACCTTGATCTCAGTTTCCTCATCTGTAAAACGGGGGTAATGTAACACCACCGGCTAACATGCATGAGCCCTTTCTAGGTACCAGCTGCCAGCCTAGGGACGAGGGCCCCACACGGTGGGTATTCTTGCTGTATTCCATGGATTCCAAGATGCACATTTCCTTGAAATTCAACATCTCCGAAAGCAGAATATGTCTTATTCATGAACAGGTAACAGTTTTGTTGGCACTGTATTTCTTTCTTTGTCCATGAATACGTGGTGCACATTGTAATTAATAGCATCTTGGATTTATTGAAGTCTTAGATCAGCCACGTTTTACAGATAAGGAAACTGAGGGTCTGAGAGGTTCAGTGGAGCTGGGATTTGAACCCAGGCAGCCTGGCTCCAGAGCTTGGGCTCTTAACCCCCATCTTTTGCTCGATAACTTTCTCTGAGACTCCAGCATGTCACACGCCCTCAGTAAATGGTAGGCATAATGTCACTATTATGGCAATCAGGATGAATGAGCCTGTTGGCCTTGGTGGCAGTCAGTCTGGAGGTCAGGAGAAGGTGTTTTAGTGGCTTAAGGATGTAGTTAGTAGCCCTCTAGGTTCTGGGGCAGTAAGCACACATGTACACACACACACACACACACACATTTCCCCTCTCAGTATCTCTCTCTGCAAAATAATCACGTTTCTCCAAGAAAAGGAACAAGGACTGGATTATTTCCCACTTTATCTGCAAGCTGATGGAGAGGTCTCTCCAGCCCTGACCCCAGGCAATGCATTCGTACAACTCTGACCTTTGACCCCACATCCCAGGTGACACAGTGGGCCTTCTGGCCAGGATGGCACTGCAAGTGTAAGATGCTTGTTGTAAACTAGCCTAAAAGAGGATTGCCAGAAGCAACGAGATAAAACCACCTAGAAGGCTTATTGAAGACCTCTGTCCAAACTGGCTACTTTCCGCCAAAACAGTGACTGGGGAGAAATCTAGATGCCTAAGGCAGCCACTTCTCTTCCCTCCTCCAAATCCCTCAGCACCAAGCAGGGGGACCCAGGCCTGTGTGAATGAATGGAGGGTGGGAGGGAGGGGAGTGTGGCTTTCAGGTATGTCTGGTCTTAAACTGGAATGTTCTAGACTGGGCACCTATGGTCTCCTGGCCACACCTGCTCCCCTTCCTGCAGTTACACCTGCCCAGACCTCAGAGGTGTTTAAGCACCAGGCCAGTGGCTAACTGGAAGGTGCATCAAAATCCCTTCCAAGAGCTTGTTACAACAAAGATGGCTGGTCTCACCCTGAGAAATTCTGATTCTGGGGGTCTGGGTTGGGTTTCAGAGAACTGGCATTTCTAATGAGTCTCCAGGTCATGCTAATGCTGGTGGTCTAGGAACCCCACTTTG